CACTTACAGACATTAGAGGTGTCAGACCACAAGATTCCTTCAGGCTCTCTCATCCTGAGGACATTGTGTCCACTCTTTGCTTTAAAGCTAAACTCTACCTACAGCTGGGAATCCCAGCAACATTGATCATTCACTCTCCATTCACCAGTCAAGTGTGGGAAAATTGGCAACCTCAGCAGTGGAAAACGTAACTACTTCCTCTCAGAGAGAGAGCATGTTAATTAGCCAGCACTCCCAGGACAACACCAATAGGCCACAGCTCAGGTAAACATAAACACAAATACACGTATACACACCTAACAGCCTACAACTGCTCTATCTAGCATTATAAACTGAAAAAGTGTATAAGCATAGGACTCTCACTGTGAAGGCCACCACAGCACCTTTGCAATAACTGCTAGTCCATAAAGACATCTGGTCTAGTCTTGTAGTTAGTCTTCTAAAAATATATGTAAATCTTGAAATAAAAAGCAAAGTTAAGCACAAATCTTGGAGCTCATTATCAAGATCTGTGCGCATTTTTCCCAGCATTATAAAAATCAAGAGTTTAATGAATTAAACATATTTTTCCATTCACAGTAGTAATGAGCAACATTTCCATTTGTGATCCATATGGACATATCTATCTTCTGTATCACAACGCCCCCTATTATAGAGATTATTATACAGTTTACTGCATTAATGTGTAACTGTATTATGTAACATGTTGGCGAAGGGAGCCGCTCTTGAGCTGGCCCAACTTGCTGCAGAGTGGCAGATCTTGGGCCACAGGGGCTTTTCCTGAAAAAGCCAGGGAACACCAAGGGAGCAAAGAGAACCCCCAGGAGCCAGCGTGACGTGGCCTGGGCTTTGCCAGAGCAACAGTGGTCGCTCCCACCCCTACAAAAAATCAGCCTAGGGAGCACGGTGTGTCAGTTTGTACGGCAGTTCGCAGGGAAGGGCACAGTCAGGCTGCCTGCTCGAGAGGTGAGTTTAGTTGCTGGCTGTCACCCTCTCAGAAGGAGCTCAGCTATGTTGACCACCCAGTGAAAGGCCAAGTCCTCTACACTCAATTGCAGGGATGTGGCAGCACAGACAGAGCTCCCACAGAAAGACGTGGCTCCAGGTCTCAGGCTGCAGGGAGTGCCTGAGCCTTTCCCTGGTAAGGGATGGCAATGGTGAAAAGAACTGTGTGAGGTGTGACCAGGCGGACGATCTGTTCAGCATGGTGGCAGAGCTGCGAGAGGAAGTATAAAGGTTAAGGAGCATCGGGGAGTCTGAGAAAGAGAGAGACTGGTGGTGTGATGCTCTGCCCCACCTGAGGCAGCAACAGGAAGAGCCACAAAAAAAACCAAAAACACAAGACGAAAGGGATTCTGTATCCTCATCCCATCAGGCAGAAGACACTAGCTTAAAGGAAAGCAAGGAATGGAAGCAAGTCTGTGCTCGGGGCAATAGGCGTACCCCCTCCTTGCCCACCTCACCTCCCCTGGTGCCTCTGCACAACAGGTACAAAGCTCTGGAGGTGAAAGGCCCATCAGTGGATGATGTGGCTGAAGGTCCATATGCACTGGAGGTGTTGCCAGGGTCAGAAAGGACCACCCCCTGTATCACGACCACCTTCACGAAGAAGAAAAGACAGGTCATAGTCATAGATGACTCCCATCTGAGGGGAACAGAAGGACCAATACGCCAGGCGGACCTTCCTCTTAGGGAAGTCTGCTGCCTCTTGGAGCCCAGGTTAAGGACAACTTTAGGAAACTTCCTAGCCTAGTATGGCCCTCAGACTATCACCTGCTATTGCTCTTCCATTGGTTGGTGATGAAGCTGCAACACAAAGCCCAAGGGCAATCAAGAGAGACTTCAGGGCCCTGGGAAAGCTGATAAGGGGATCTGGGGCACAGGTAATCTTGTCTTCTATCCTTCCATTTGTGAGTAGTGACACTGGAAGAAGCAGATACATCCAGTCTATTAACACGTGGCTCCGTGGCTGGTGTCATCGCCACAATTTTGGCTTTTTTGACAATGAGATGGACCACATGGCACCCGGCTTACTGGCACCGGAAGGGATTTGCATTTCTCAAAGGGGAACAAGGGTCTTTGCACAGCACCTAGCGAGGCTCATTCACAGGGCTTTAAACTAGATTCGAAGTAATATCAAGGTTGATCAAGATATGCAGGAAGCATCTGAACAGTAGCAGAAATTCCCCCCAAGAAGTCAGATTCATCTGGGACCCAAATTAAATGCCTCTATGCTAATGCACGCAGCATGGGGAATAAATAAAAGGAGTTAGAAATGCGTGCGCACCTGTTGGAATACAATCTTATTGGCATCACGGAGACATGGTGGGATGAATCCTATGACTGGAGTGTCAGAATGGAAGGATACAGGCTTTTTAGGAAGGATAGCAGGGAACATGAGGGGGAGGTATTGCTCTCTATGTCAAAGACCAGCTGGAGTGCATGGAGCTCCACCTGGGGATGGATGAAGAGCCAACTGAGAATTTATGGGTCAGGATTAAAAGGAGGGCAGGGACAGCTGACATCATAGTAGTGCGGGGTCTGCTACAGGCCACCTGACCAGGAAGACCGAGTGGATGAGGCCCTCTACAAACAGATAGGAGCAGCTTCGCGTTCATGAGCCCTGGTCCTCACGGGGGTTCACCCACCCCAATATCTGTTGGAGGAACAACACAGCAGGGCACAAGCAATCCAGGAGGTTCCTGGAATGCATTGATGATAACTTCCTTCTCCAAGTGATAGAGGAACCAATGAGGAGAGGTGCAGAGCTGGACCTTGTTCTCACCAACAAGGAGGGGCTGGTGGGGAATGTGATGCTCAAGGGCAGCCTTAGCTGCAATGACCATGAAATGGTGGAGTTCAAGATTCTCAGGGGGGCAAGGAGGGTGCTCAGCAAGCTCATTGCCTTGGATTTCAGGAGAGCAGACTTCGACCTCTTCAGGGATCTGCTTGGTGGAGTATGATGGGATGAAGTCCTAGAGGGAAGAGCAGCCCAAGCAAGCTGGCTAATATTCAAAGATCACTTCCTCTAGGCTCAGGAGCAGTGCATGCCAACAAAGTCAGGCAGGAACACCAGGAGGCCTGCATGAATTAACAAGGAGCTCCTGGACCAAGTCCAACACAGAAAGGAAGCCTACGGAGGGTGGAAGCAAGGATAGGCAGCCTGGAAAGAATACAGAGAAATTGTCCGAGCAACCAGGGATCAGGTTAGGAAAGCTAAAGCCCTGCTAGAATTAAATCTGGTCAGGGACATCAAGGCCAACAAGAAAAGCTTCGATAGGTATGTCAGTGATAAAAAGAGAACCAGGGAAAACATGGGCCCTCTCCAGAAGGAAACGGGAGACCTGGTTACTTGGGATATGGAGAAGGCTGAGGTACTCAATGACTTTTTTGCCTCAGTCTTCACTAGCATGAGCTCCAGCCACATTGCTCAAGTCACAGAAGGCAAAGGCACGGACTGGGAGAATGAAGAACTGCCCACTGTAGGAAAAGATCATGTTCAAGACCATCTAAGGAACCTAAAGGTGCACAAGTCCATAGGACCTGATGAGGTGCATTCACAGGTCCCGAGGGAACTGGCAGATGAAGTTGCTAAACCATTATCCATCATATTTGAGAAGTTGTGGCAGTCTGGTGAAGCTCCCATCAACTGGAATTTAAAAAGCGAAAAAAAGAAGACCCGGAGAACTACAGGTCAGTCAGTCTCACCTCTGTGCCCGGCAAGATCATGGAGGAGATCCTCCTGGCAACTATGCTAAGACACATGGAAAATAAGGGGGGGATTGGTGACAGCCAACATGGCTTCACTAAGGGCAAATCCTGCCTGACTAATTTGGTGGTCTTCTACGATAGGGTTACAGTATTGGTGGATAGGGGAAGAGCAACTGACATCATCTATCTGGAGTTGTCCAATGCATTTGATACTGTCCCGCATGACATCCTTGTCTCTAAACTGGAAAGACATGGATTTGATGGGTGGACCACTCAGTGGATAAGGAATTGGCTGGATGGTCACACTCAAAGAGTTGCGGTCAATGGCTCAATGTCCAAGTGGAGGCCAGTGACAAGTGGTGTTCCTCAGGGATTGGTACTGGGACCAGTGCTATTTAACATTTTTGTTGGTGATATGGACAGTGGGATTGAGTGCACCCTCAGCAAGCTTGCTGATGACACGAAGCTGTGTGGTGTGGTTGACAGGCTGGAGGGAAGGGATGCCATCCAGAGGGACCTTGACAGGATGGAGAGGTGGGCCTGTAAGAACCTCATGAAGTTCAACATGTCCAAGTGCAAGGTCCTGCACTCGGGTCAGGGCAATCCCAAGCACAAGTACAGGCTGGGCAGAGCAC